GTGCTGTGCGGTAAAAAGAAAAAGCAGTACTGTAAGAAAGAAGCTTTAGCTTGTTTATGCTTTTATGCTTTATTTCTTATTGTAGTTATGAGAAGCAAAGAATAATGTACAACAAAGTTCTAGAACTGATCTTTAACATCTTATTTCATCACTGACCAGTAGCCAGATTATTTTTATTTTGTCTTTACTTTGCCAGAATAGTCCCTAGAGACAGGGTGCTGTCTTTCTAAATGGTTTCAAAATGGTTTATGGGCTACAGAGGTTTATAGAGGACACTACCAACCAGCAAAATACAAGATTATATACACAAATTTTTGTCCTGCAGGCAGATGTCAGCACAGAGTCCTCGTGGACCCTCACAGACCTTGGAAGATGACAAAATTTCCACCACCAGACTGTAGTGGACATGTAGATGTGCAAAGCCCTTAAGGGCACTTGCTTTATTCAATAGGTCCTATTCTGATTGGCTGAAGGTGCACGTTGAACATGCACTGTCAACACCCCAGAATCTGTCTATTAAAATAGTTACTTAGAGTAGAAACTTATATAAAGATTTTTTTTCATACATAATGGAGGGGAAATTTTCTTTATGAGTTGGTTACTTATTCAGGCCAAGCCACAAGGCACTCACCAGTGATCCTTTCTTCCAGGCCTTACCACAGAGGGAGCCTGTAATTTGGGAAAGTTTTTTCTCAAAGATACTGATCCATAAGTACAGTATCTTAGTGTGGACCCTCACCTGGGAGCCATTCGCCTAAATCAATCAGGCACGGTTTCCCTTAAAAACAAAGGATGCTCTTATCTAAAATACCATAAAATGAAACTCCTCTGTTTAAAAAGCTTCATGACAGATATGCTCTTTTGTTGAGGGCTGAAAACAAACAGAGACCAAACCATCCCTAGGACTGCTGACCCTGCTTTTTGCAACTTCTGTTTTTCCTATCCAAATCAAAATAGGCTTGCTGCCTATCCATCCATACCGTGCTACCTGGGAGTCACCGCTGGCACTTACGTAGCATAACACACTGGTTGTGACTTCGCTGAGGCCGACGAGGACAGAAAGTGCTTGGATGGGCTTCCCTTCCATCTTCCTGGCTCAGCTCATCTTTGTTCATAACACCAAGTGCAGAGGAACAGAATAAGGACAGTGGAAACCAGTCTGATGCTGAGAAGTATTCCTGCCTGGCACTAAGGTTAGCTTTCTGCACCCCACCCTGTGCAATGTGAGTATCGGTTTACAGTTGTCTTTGTCATCTTTGGGTGTGATGCAGTGTCGTAGAAAAGCTGCCTGCCTGCATGTATGAATTCAGCATTTGAGCATTGTATGTCACAGAGCTTGGCAGTGCTCATCACACCATAACCCCCACTACACACACACATACACAAAGCACACAGCCGTACATACACACTGCATATACGACATATGCGAGCGTAAGCACCCACACTCTTGCACAACACCCTGCCTACTGGAGTGTAACCATGGTAACGGAGCGCCTGCCCAATAGGAGTTGTGATGGAGGCAGCAGAAGAGAGGGAGACTAACAGGAAGAAGTATATTCACCTTTATTCATCCATGCTATACATGAGTTTAGAAATCATGCTGCATAATCACTTGCAAGAGGGGGTTTTTGCTGATGCCCTAAATGAGAGCTTCCGCAGTGTTTCTGCACTGGAACCAATTAACCAGGTCACATGGACTTGGTCCTCACTGGGCCAAACTATCTCAAATTAACAAGTAGCCTAAATGTCAAGAGGTCAAAAAACTTGCTTAATACATATTGTCTTTGAATCCAAAAAGTGCATGTAATATACAATAGTTGGCAGACAACTGTGCAGAAAGACACCGTAATTATGAATACATCAAAAAAAGCGAGAAGGTTGCGGGTTCGTGACCTTTCTGTGCGGAGTTTGCATGTTCTCCCAATGCTTGCGTGGGTTCTCTCCGGGTACTCCGGCTTCCTCTCACAGTCCAAAGACGTGCGGCTTAGGTTGATTGGTATCTCTAAATTGCCTGTAGGAGTGACTGTGTGCATGTGAGTGGTTGTTCGTCTGCATGTTGGCCCTACGATGGAATGGCGACCTGTCCAGGGTGTACCCTGCCTTTGCCCGATTGCTGGCTGGGATTGGCTCCAGCCCACGGCCCCGTTTGGGACTGAGCGGCATAGAAGATGAATGAATATGTTGGTATCTAATGTATCCCACTGCAACCCTGTTGCTATCCTGTGGATGTTCTCAATGAAATAATACATGCTCATTCTTCTTTAGTATTTTATTTCACAATGTTTTGTCCTCTTAAATTAGTTTTATGATGTTAGCAGATGTGATGCTTATTTCAACAAAAACGGGTTTTCTGTACAGTACTTCAAGTAGGAGACCTACACTTACACATCTACTGAAATCCAGTACAACCATCCTGTATCTGTCTTTTGCTGATATGAGCCCAAGGCTGGCAGAGTAAATACAGACAGGGAAGTGGAACAGACAGTGCTTGTTCTTCTCTCATTATCACTGCAGAGATGCCCTTGAGCAAGGCAATTAACAATCATTGCTCCAATGGGGCTGCTCAGTATCTATCAGATCAGATGATGGTTGTTCTTGGCAGTTTTTATGAATGTAGAACACGACACTGTTGCAAAGGAGTGTTGATCAGAACTACTCACAATACATAAAGTAAAATACTAAATGCAATCTGATGTTTCTATACATTAGCCATTATGTCTGTATACAAGAAGCACAGCTAGAACTCACATAACAACAAGCTTAGATACACAAGACCTACAAATACAGACTTTATTTTCATTCATCATCTAAATGTCTTTTTTTTTTTTGGATCTTTACTTCATTCTCATCAAACACAGTGTGATGTCGCCGTAGCAACATGGTTAGTCTTTACATCATCAAGCCAAGACACTGGTTTTTAATTCTGTCCGTTTTATCTGCTGGTGATAATGTCCAACATTCTGTTTCCTCCCATAACACTGCTGTACAGAAACAATCTCAGAAAAAAGATATGCAGTTCAATGTCTAGGGGGATTTTACTCCATATGAACAAAGCTGATGATACCGTCTGACACCTGTACAAAGAACACAATCAGTAGTAGTATGATTACATTTAGCAATTTGAACATTTTGATAATGACTTTAGTTATTATTGTGCTCACAGCAGTGCTTCATGTGGGCTCTAACGCTATAATATTTTCAGATCCTCAGCCCATTGTCACATCCCTCCCTCTTTCTCTGTGTGCACTACAGGTGGAGGAGAATGCCAGTGATACAGAATGTGTGTAGGTGAGTGAGTGGGCAGTAACTGCAATTTGGATCCTGCTTCTTCACATGTGGAAATCATCACATGGCTGAAGACAGAAGGAGGAGTGGGCAAAATAGTGACAGAAAGACACAGGGGCAGAAAAATTAAAAAGGGAAATAGGAAATTGAGAAGAAGAGGGAATATGCATGGGAAAGGAGATGAAGGAGGGTGAAAAGGAGAACAGACAAAAAGAATAATGTGAAGGTAATGGGAGAGAGGTAGGAATAAAAGGAGGCATACAGGGTATAAGGATGAAAGCTGGAACAGTGGAGGGCAGAAGGAAGAATGGAAAAAAGGTACCGGTAGTTTCACACTCCTCCCGTAGCTCATTTTCACACTCACAACAACCTGTTCAGACATGCACAAACACAATTTCTGGCAAATCAATTGCAAAACAATTTTTGCACTGATTGGTAAAGAGAAAAAAAAACTAAATACTGAGCAAATAAGTTAAGAATGGTCACTAATCCTGCAGACAGACAGTAGTACACAAGAATCACTCAGGCCCTTTGACACAAGCTGTGGATGTGCGTGTGTGTTAAACTAAAATCACACATGGACAAACAAACACATGCAGGCCAAGTAAAAGTACACTCATATAAAAATCTAAATACCAGTATTTTAGCTTTGAATTAAATTATCTATGCATTTAATTTTCTGAGATAAGCTTGTAGTAAAAGAGTTGTCTTCACAAAACAAGAAGCTTGAAAAGTAGCCTAAACCCCAGTGAAACTTAAATAACTTTGGAATTAGCATAGAAGAGAAATTAAAACCAGCAAGACTGTACAAACAGACTGCAGGCATACTGTGTGCTAATTGTGTCTCTATTGCAGTTCACTGGAGCAATAAAGCCTCCCATTGTGACTTTGCCCCTAAATGATGAGAATCCCTCATTCTCACTCAATAGGCTGCCTGCAAAGTCATCTCTGTGGCGAGCTCCAACACAGAGAGACAGGGATGAACTACAAGGACAAAGAGATGACATTTGAGAGATGACAAAGACACACACAGGGCAGCGGATGCCTTTAGGTATAAGTTAGCTTATCAGACTTGCAGTTTTGTCTTTTCTTTTCAGCTGTTAATATACTGGTTCAATGTACTTGTTTATTAGGTTGTAGTGGCTTTTGTTATCTTTTACTTTAAATGTGTTATATAAAAATGGTTATTGTCCACATTTATTGGCCATTAGGAGACCATGTAACTTTCAAACTACTAAACTGAGTTTTTTTTCATCAAAGAAACAACAAAAAAAGTCAGATTCTCCTGTGCAAAACTTAGATGACCAGTATGTACATCATAGGATGCAGCACCATACAGGTTTAACCCCCCTGCACATAAGTGTGTGCAAGCAAAAATATGTGAATGTCCCTTCCTCTTCTTATAACTTGCTACTCCAGAATGTCCTCTTTTATGAATAACTAGAGTTTTGGAATGAGGAAAGAAATGATGTGCATGAAAAGTCTCAGGGACTGAGGAAAAGGAAAATCACTGTCACTGTATGTTACGGTTAAATTCTAATACTCAAAATAGAGTTGGATGAGTTCCTAGATGTGATGATGACTATGACATAATAATAACTTGAGGCAAGAGTTTGAGTGCTTTTACATACAAGCCAAGAAAATGATTATTGTATATACGAACTTATAATCTTGTTTGAAATTCAACAAAACGTTTTAAAGAAAATCTCTCCTACCATTTGCAGGGGTCTCTTTCGGAGGTCTCTCTCAGTGACCAGCCTCTCCTGATCAGTAATGTAGAGTCCACGCTGAGCCAATGCCTGGATGACGGCATCGTGGCCCAGCAGGGGTTTAGCGGCATCGCTCTTCAAAATGAGGCTGCCGGCCCTGCAGTAGAGGTCTGCAGAGAGCAGGAGGCTAACCACAGGAGGCTTCAGATGCTCCTGTTCATACTGGTCTGTGTAGAATGGGTCCTTCAAGTCAGATGGGATGCTGTCTGTATGATGGAAGGGACAAAGTGAGATAAAGGGTTAGAGATTCCAGAAGCTTCCACAGCAGCACAATAGAAAGAACATACCACCAGTGTGTTTAATTTGTGACATACTGTATGAGTCATTTGCAAGAATATGAAATAAACAAGTGAAAAACCAGGTTCATCTGAAATGAGCATAAATGTACAGTGATGGCAAGTTGATTCCAAATCTCCAACAGAGCTCGATTTTGTTGATGACTTTCCCCTCAGTGCATTGAATCTCTGTTATTACTTTTCTTTGGCAGGTCTGCTTCATGTTTTTATTGCCATGCTTTGATAATATCTTGACATAGATATGTGTGAAGAGATCTCCGCGTTGCTATAGCAACCGCAGCAGGAGTGGAAGCCGATCGATTCATCTAGTCTGTATCTCTGCAGCTTCCACATCCCTGGGATCCCCCTCTCACTGCCTGCCTCATCAAAGACAGAGGGCCTTCATGTGCCTGTCTGTGCGAGTCACCTCAAGCAAGTACACCACAAGGGGATTTTTTTTTAAATAAATCAAAAACATTGCTTTTGTCTCATACCTCTCTTTGTCAGTGTGTGCTAAGCTGAAAAGTATTTTTTATAAACTAGTGCTTGAAAAGAGAATTTAGGGTGTTATGGTGAAAGCCAAGCCAATGCAAGTCCATGTTTTTTCCACAGCTGATTAAACAATAAAAACATGATTAACTGATTCACTGTGTAAGCAGCAGGAGAATAGATGTACATTTTGATAGCTGTCTGTGTGTGTGTGTGTGTGTGTGTGTGTGTGTGTGTATGCAGAATGTGGCATGTGGGGGCCACACTGACAGGTTTACCCTCCCCAGCACAGTGGCCCATCCTCCAACACACACACACACACAAGTCAATGAATCACCTGCTTAGACTGACCATTATCAACAAGGTAGTCTACAGATGGACTCTGTGCTATTATGGAACAAAAACACAGGTCAGCTGCAGTAGCAGATATGAGTTATATGCTTTTCCTATAAGTACTGAGTTCATGTTATTGATCCCAGCAAAAAAAAAATATTGATCCCCCTTTATCCTCCACTGGGAGGTCAGAGGTCAGAACAACACCCCTGCAGCTGATAGTATGTCAGCATCTTGCTCAGGTAGCACAAATTACATTTTATTTTCTGTTACCTTTCAACATGCAGGCTTTTATGAAGCCCCAGTTGTTTATGGTGTATTCCATTATTTGGTGGCCCTGCAGCTTTTTTTTGTCAGTGAAATGTGCATGTTTATCAATGAAAACTACAAGATGAGTTATATTTTTCTGTGGCCCCAAATCACTGAGCTTTTTCCCCCTGACTGTAAACTATCCTATCCTTTAATGCCTTGCTCAAGGGCACATGTAAAGGATGTGGTAAGGGAATACAGAGAATTACTTATTTGCTTTTACTACCTTTACCTGATATTCAAGGCAGTCAGTTTCTGATCATGACTATTCTCAGACATCTGCTTGTGAATTACATAATACTTGTATCAGTATGTGCTCTGTTTGATAGCATTTGCCTGACAGCAGATTTTCTGCTGTATAGCTTGCATCTTGCATGCATTTTACCTCATATTGTTAATGCCCTCCTGCACTGATTTAATGAGGCAGATCCAAGTGAAAAATTCTGAGAGGTGTATACCGAAGATGAGCCATCCCTCTCTCTCTCCCTCTGGAGGCCTGTATTTTTGGAATCAGCCCATTTCATTCAGTCCAGATTGAGAATACACTGAGGAGCTGCAAGGGATCTGATGTTTGCTGAGCTATTACAACACAGCAGTGAGGAATAATGTGGTCTCTGGCTAGAGCAGCAGAATTTTGTCTGCACCGCTCTTAGAAATTGATCTGTGATTTTTGTGCTAGTGTGTGGTTTTTAAGGCCGCATGACCATACGCAGATATTACTACAATAGGGATGTTAAATAATGATAAAAATGTTTTAAGGTGGCCCATCTAAATAGATCTTTTTTGTTGCAGTTTAATTTTTTTTATTCTGTATTTCTTACTTTAGGTTTGGTTGGAAATGCAGTTCAAAGAGTGCAAATATAAACAGCAGACTGGAAAAATGACACCCCTGATCTCAAGTCAGCTTGTAAATGGAATCTTGTTTTGCCACTCACTCTCAGGTGATACATGTACAGTATGTGCTTTTCGCCACAGGGGCCAACCATCTCAAAACTCTTTTCAACCTGTGGGAAACATTGTTCATGAATGAAATGATTCTGTTTCTGATAAAAAAAATATCAGCAGACTATTTTCAAAACACAAGCTAGTACAAAGTCACTGTTGCACGCTGACTATATTACTGAAAATCTGAAGAGCCCTCATGAATTGATGTGTCCCAGCAACAAACTAAGCTTAGTTTCTTTTTAAACCCAGCTTCAGACCAAAATGATATTTATTTTAGAAAATGCAAAGGCTTCACTCATTCTGCAGGCTGTGATTTAAGCACAAACTGATGCTGAGCTGTTATTCGTGGGTCCTCAGTAGAAGTGTTTCAAATTATTTGATGCATCTCTACAAACACCAGTCAGGTCAGACATTAAGCCAAAATTACAACAGGTTAAGGTAAATGAACACTTAGAAACTGTAATAGCAATGCTGAGATTAGTTTATCTGCGATGGATTGGCGACCTGTCCAGGGTGTACCCCGCCTTCGCCCGATTGCCGGCTGGGATTGGCTCCAGCCACCCCGTGACCCCGTTCAGGGACTAAGCGGTAGAAAATGAATGAATGAAAAAAAAAAAAGATTAGTTTATATACAGTAGTACGAGTCACATGGGAAAATAAAAGTAAAATTGTGGCACTAACAGCTGCAGGGGATTTTATGCATTATGTTATTTATGTATCTGAAAACTCAGCCAGTTTGTTTATGCTTAATGTAATGTGAAATTAGTTTTTGTTATAGGGCATTCTTCACAAAGTGCTCTTAAATAAACACTTATTAATAAGACCTCTGCTGACAATGTATCAAAAAGGCACATGTAATGGCTCAGTTTCTAAATGTTACTTGGATGCAGAATGCTGAAGGTGACATCAACACCTTCACGCATCCTTAGCTCTACACGGAATACTCCTATTCAACATATCGATCAAGTACAGTAAAATGGTTTTGTCTTTCCTAACAGAATCATATTTACTGTCTGACCAACACGCAAGTAATTTATGATGGTCAGCAATGGGCAATAGCAATGTATAGCAAAATATGAACCAAAGAGTTCTTACTCAGATGGAAAATCATTGTTATTTCTACAGAGAATATGCTGTAGAATATTGCCTCGGGTAACAGTTAATCAATGGTGAGTCCTATATACAGTACAGATGAGGGTTTGTCTGTGACGTAGTCTATGTCTTTGTTTTGGCGTCATAGCCTTTTAAATTTTACTACACATATTATACGTTTACTGCATTGGGTTCTGTACTGAATAATTAAAATGCTGACAAACGTTCATTATGAAAAAAATGAATAAATATGAGAAAAATGTTCATGCAGCGCGGAAGTGCTATTTCAAGACACAGTAATGAACCTACCTGTCCCATATGCTTTGGCCACCAGCCATGTGAGACTACAGCAGATTTTGGCTCGGGAGAAGTCATAGTGCTCAAAAGACTTTACTGCTGGAGCAACGAAGGTCCTCTTGGCATCCCTGACGTCCTGAACTTCACCCATGTTTCTCCCTGAACTGAACGTTATTGTTAAACCCTATGAACCAAGACAACGCAAACGCATCCTACTGCTGGAATTCGTGGAAAACGATAAACGGGTGTAAATAAAACAGACACTGCGTCAGTTTGCAGATAATTCGAAGATTTTTCAGTCATAAAATCTTAGGTTGTGCGTGTTTTCGTTTGTTTCAGCCTCGCTGTCACAACGAATCGCTAGTGGCAATGCTTTTCATCCATTCTGCTCTCTACCAGCTGAAATGGGCTCCTTTGTACCAAGCCAGGTTTTCTTGGATTTCAGAACAAAATTTGCTCTTCGACCGAAATGAAAATATGTATATTTCCATTGTTTGGGTTCTTTGGAAGTAGTATACTTATCCCTTTCGTGTCCGTGTATTGTTCTAGCCTATCCTATGCGTTTGCATTCCCTCTTCTCTTCAATCTGTTGTTGACCTGGTGCGGCTTTTCTGCCGCACTGTGATTGTGGGCTCTCCATGACCAGCGCCTTAGTCACGCAATGCGCATGCGCTGATGTTACCTTCATATGTTTTCAGGAATATTAGGATTTTTGTTTGAGTACATAATGTCTTTGGCATGTCGATGCCTACCAAATCTCTGTAATATACTGACCAACTGACAGCAGGCCAAGACTAACATGTAACGTTATTAAACAATATCCTCATACCACACGACTGCTTTACATTTCAACTCCAAAAGATAGTTTTACGACGAAGACTTGAATGTAACGCAAAAAGAAGGCAGTGTGCGTGCAGTTATGATGGAGAACTCAAGCTGAAAAGGTGGCATTAATTAACTATATAGAGCTTGTTCTCAATTGTTCTCACTTAGATCGTTTTTAGGTTAGTATTATATTGTTCTTAATCAAGACAAATATAATTCAGTTGTATATTTGACAAACTCATACAGAGTGTAAAACATCCCTTCATGTATTTTGTATATCTGATAAAAATGTCAATAAGACCACTTAAAAAGGCTAAAACCACGCCAAGGAATATTTGCAGCATTTTTTGTATGAACCACATTTCCCGACATGCAAAGCCATTTTGCGTCATTAGTACGCGTCTGTAATGGTTTCGTGCTGTCGGAAGATTTGACACGGGGAACTAGCGTAAATATGTTTATTCATTTTGTTATTTTATATGAACTATGCCGCTAAGTTATTGAGTGCATTTATAAGTAGAGCTGTGGATTAAGAATTGTGATTTCAAAATGCACGAAAATGTGAAACTTTTGCAGTTGTTTGCTCTAAGAGCCGGGATTTATATTTAACGTTAGCTTTGTAAATAATTACTTTCGTTACTGTACGAAAATGTAGGTGTAGTAAGGAAATCTATGGTTAACTTTTTATCTTTAGGAAATATTTTAAAACTATTCTGTACACGCCGAAATATAGCAAGTTCACGTCACTTGTAGAAGTTGCTGTTACCTTAAAATGATGACTCTTGAACCATTTTATGAACTGAATGCTTATTCTGTTTTTCTGGTGTTCACAGGGTAATAATCTATAAAAATGTTTATGCCCAGAGCCCTGAAAGTGAAGAGAACGGCTGAGGGCTCAGGTCTAGTTTTGAAGAAAAAAAGCAAGGTTGGTCAAAAGGAGGAGAATGATGAAGGTAGTTCAGACACACCTGTTCAAAAGAATGAAGTGTATGAAGATACCAAAACACAGGATGAGGCAATACAAGCAGGTGGATACTCTGCAGGTTTGACAGAGAGCTCAGTGCACGAAGATGGACATAAGTCTGCCTCAAGTGATACAGAGGAAGAACCAGTCAAATCATTCAAAAAGAGCCAGAGATGGCCAGAGCCAGGCGATCCTGTCTGTGTGATGTGTGGTCGCTATGGGGAGTACATCTGTGATGCTACTGACAATGATGTTTGCAGCCTTGAATGCAAAGCCAAACACTTGGCTCAAATGGGGATGGGGACTGGAGCAGATGTGTTTAACTATAAGGACAAAAATTGTGATGAAAGGGCTCAACATCAACAGCCAGCAGCTGACAAGGATGGGATGGGTGAAAGTGGGGCAGGCTGTTTCTACAGGGAAGATCGATTCATATCAAGTCTTACAGATGAACAGGTGCAGCGGATTAAACAGGAACTGGGCATTGAAACTCAGGGGAGCGATGTCAGGAGACCCATCATTGAGTTTGAACACTGTGGTTTCCCTGCTATCCTGAGTGGAAACCTGAAGAAGGCTGGCTATGAGGCACCCACGCCAGTCCAGATGCAAATGGTGCCTGTTGGTCTCAGTGGCAGGGATGTGATTGCCAGTGCTGACACAGGTTCAGGGAAGACTGTGGCCTTCCTTCTGCCAGTGATACTGAGAGCGCTTGAGGTACAGTAGTGCAGCTGACATAAGAGTTGCTGCTTGTCTTATGGTGATCTCGTTCACACAAACACAGTTTGAATCAGATTGTAATCATGGCACCTTGGAAATTATTCCCATTTTAAAAATTGTAATGTATAGAAAAGTTTATCTATGGGAAACCTCTGGTTTAGATGATAATGGCTTAATTTCTGCTTTACGTGTCTGTTGACGATGTCAGTAAAAGCTCATGTGACATAATATTTTAGGTATATCTTGGCAATTGCATAAAATTAGGCTGTATTTGAATTCATGCATTTCTTTTATTGATTGTTAAACTAAAAACAGTTACAGTCTGGCCATTGAGGTGGTTTTTAGGCATGAGGATCCATTTATTATTTAGACATACTCATTTTAGGTTTAATGTAAAACTGTGCACACTACGACCATGGGAGTTTAGGTAAATGAGTATTAATGTTTTTCAGAGATGACTTTTAATGCTTAGCATTTCATAGTGTTTGTGCTGCAGGGCACATTTCTGTCATGGGGTTAGGACCTGCAGTAAGGAACGCAAAGGTCAGGTCATTTGGGCAAAATCAAAAGGAATCTACACAATCTAGAGAATTTTCGTTATCATTATTATTATTATTATTATTATTATTGTTCAGGAGAGTATTTGCTTGTGAAGTAGATAAACTGAGCAGAAAAGATTGGATGCAGACTGTTGTAGCAAGCATCTGCTCTATTAAGGTTTCCTATAGCATGACACTAGACCCCCATCAGGTGACAGAGAAGATGTGCTGTAACTGGCCATGACCTCCATGTACAGAAGGAAAAGTCAAAAGAATTAATATCACAAAAAATAAATGAGTAGTTTAGAACTACTGACAAAACACTTCTAGCAGACATGGAATCTGTAACATTGCTATCTTTATCTAAATGCTTTTGGGCCTATATTTGTATTGACAGTAGTACTGCATTTCTTTATTTTATTTAAGAAATCAGTACATAGTGTGCACAGCCCTATGGCTCTGATCCTGACCCCCACCAGAGAGCTGGCTATTCAGATAGAGAGACAGACCAAGGAGCTGGTGATGGGCATCCCTAACATGAGAACTGCTCTGCTCGTGGGTGGCATGCCGCTTCCCCCACAACTCCACCGACTGAAAAGCACCATCAAAGTAGTGTACAGCCATTATTTTTTACAATATTTCCCTGTTCTGGCAATCAGACCATTGTCTTATATAATGATTTGGCTCTTTCCGTTTTCTCCCCATGATGTTGTTTGTCTATTAATCCACTTTAGATTGTAATAGCCACCCCTGGGCGACTTCTTGAGATACTGAGGCAGAAAGCTGTGCAGCTGGACAAAGTGAAGGTTGTGGTGGTTGATGAGGTACTGTATGTCAAACACAGTGCAAAGCTCAGCACATAAATGATGGAATGATTTCACTTTGATTTAAATTTGACATTATGACAATGAGGACTTAATGATAAGTGGGGTTTATTTACTGTCTATTGTGTAGAAATGTTAAAGACAAGAAACTATATATATATTTGCTGTGTGCCCTGTAGGTCGACACTATGTTGAAGATGGGATTCCAGCAGCAAGTGCTGGAGATTCTGGAGCAAGTCCCCAAAGAACACCAGACTCTGCTAGCATCAGCCACCATCCCAAAAGGGATAGAGGAGCTGGCTGCTCGGCTGGTCCATGACCCTGTCCGTATCGTTGTTGGAGAGAAGAATCTGCCCTGCCCCAATGTCAGACAGATCTTGCTTTGGACAGAGGAGCCCTCCAAGAAAAAGAAGCTGTTTGAGATTCTCAATGTAGGTTTAAAAAACTGCTTTTATTTATGGTTTTTGTCAGGAAGTGTAGTCTGCAATGAAAATCCCAAAGATTTTTGGTGGAGTGCCACTGTAAGCAGTTTTACAATAAGAAACTAGGCTTTGTTCAGCTGGTCATAAATTTTTGTAGTTTTTGTGTAAGACCAAACTTAATTATACTCTAGAGAAGCAGAACATTCTTTGGCAGAAACAAAAAAAAAGTGTGCTGTTATCTCGGTATTAGTTTATAGCACATTTATCACTCAGTCTTGACATGCACTGGTACCATCTTGGTATTTTATTAACTCCCTATTTAAATGTGGGAATTCCTTAAGCTACAAGGACTGGTCTCCCAACTACACCATATTTAGACAGCCATTGCTGCAGCCCTGGCCCCTGTCTGGAGGAAATAGGTGGGCCCTGAGCCATGGCCCCACTTCAGGAATCCCAGTAATGGCTTGAACCATTTATAGCACAGGAAGGGTCTGTTTTAGATAACCCAGTGAAAAGTATTGCAAGACTATACAGGAGTTACTTTTCTTGGGATGTGATAGTGATTTTTTTTCCCCAAATCATTACTGCTGTTTATGTACTACAACTCAGAGTATAAGGGTACTGTCACTGAACACTTATAAGTGGATGGGTTTTGCATGGGTTCTGTAGGATAATATGGATGTTAGATTGGGATTTAGAAGTGACACCCCAAGAAAACCAAAACTCTGATATGCACTGCACTCAATCACCTAAAACAGTTGTTTCATATGCCATGGTCTTTAAATAATGGTATAATCAGTCTACTAAAACTAAAGTCAGGAAAGCAATGTATGTTATAAATTGGAGCCAGATCATAACATTGAAGAACTGATGAAGCCTCTTGGATGAGAGGTGAAACGTGTTCGACCTAGAAATCTAGTCCAGTTGATTTTTTTCAACTGTTCTTTCAGCATAATATCATTATTACTTTACCCACCCCACTACTTTAGGCAGAAACGCTATCCCATAAATAAGTTAGATTGGTGAATAAAGGACACCAAAAAAAAATCCTTTGCTCCCATGTATTTCCTTGTGACTTTCCAGGACAGTAAGCTGTATCAACCTCCAGTGGTGGTGTTTGTAGACTGTAAACTTGGCGCTGATCTGCTGTGTGACGCGGTCGCCAAGGTGACAGGCCTCAATACAGTGGCAATCCACTCAGACAAGAGCCAGTGGGAACGCAACCGCATCCTGAGGGTGAGGCTGATGGCAACCAGAACATGCACAGCCAAGTGGATAAATAGCTGTACCTCTATGTTTGGTGACCACAGACAACCAGACACAACGGCATCCACAAGACTTAAAACAAAATTAACACATTCACTGAGAATTTTTGTTGCAACACATACAGACGACCTCTGGCATAACTAGTGCAGAAAAAGCTGCTGCTAAAAAACAAGAAAAAAAATTGATAAGCAAAATGGAAATGCACTAGGTCTCCTGTGCCTTATTTAATGCACATTTTCATGTAAATAAATGAAGTATATTTGATATCCTGGGAAACAACCACACCAGCCGTTAGAGGCAGTAGGCAGTAGGTTATATTGTTGTCCTGCAGCATAAATAACACTCTCATGGAGCCCATATGGAGTTTTGAAAATGCTAAATATGTCTGAGTGTAAAATGTACTCTGGTATGTCTACAGGGTCTTCTGGATGGAGACTTTGAAGTGGTTATCAGTACAGGAGTGTTAGGCAGAGGACTGGACCTGGTCAATGTTAGACTGGTGGTTAACTTTGACATGCCAAACACCATGGATGAGTATGTCCATCAGGTTAGTAATACCTGGCGAGAGAAAATTCTAATCTTTAAAATGGAGTTCAGTGTGTGTAAAGCAACACTGCATAGCACTCATTCCTGTGTACCGTACTTGTAAGTATCCAGATGTACAGTAAGTAAATACTGTATACACCCTATATTTGTGTTGAAAATGAATATCTGCTACCGTGCTATTAATCATAACTGGATTAAGCAGTCATTTATTTCCATAATAAATTAGCTTTAATATTGTACTATATCCCATTTTCCCCTTTATTCTTTCCCATCCAGGTGGGCAGAGCAGGTCGGCTGGGACACAGGGGAACCGCCATCACCTTGATCAACAACAACAACAAACGGGCATTCTTGGAGCTGGTGAACCGGGTCAAGCCCACAGGGTCCATCATCCCCCCTCAGCTTCTTAGTTCACCGCACCTCCATGAGCAGCAGAGGAGGGAAAGACAAAAGGCCAAGCTGGGGCCTGAGGGGACACTGGTTACTAAGAACAACCTCATTGATATCATAAGGAAACACGACCGCCGCAGGAAGTAGCACGTTCTACCCATCAGTCCTGCAATACTGCTATTTATTAAGTAAATGCTAAGTGTTTAGCTTGTATATTGTTTATAAAAAAACATCATTTTGATGTATTCTGAATAAATGTCTTGTGTTATTAATGTAAGACACTTTATTCAAATTGAAATATTATCCCCTCTAATCCACAGATTTAAACCCAGGTCTGGGAGACAGTCTCTCTTTCCACTGCTCTGGTGTGCTTGTGTATTTATTGATGATTGAGGTCAAGTTAAATATAATACTGCTTTAAATTTCACTGTGGTAAAGGTTTTGGACAGGAGGTTTTGACATTAAAAGATTTATTCAACAGTGATCCATGTCATCTTAACCCAAGAAGTATCTGGCCTTTTTTCAACCATGTATTATCCTCCTCAGCAGAGATGGAGAGTGAGCTGTTTTGTTTTTGTTTATATGGACTGTATGCCACTTTTTAACGGTGAAGTGTTAATGCTAGAAGGAAAACATAAGTAACACAAAGAGTTAAGTACAGTTTACAGTGGGTAAGTATGACTACATAACCTTATAACGTTGATTATGTTGCCGCCTAGTGTCAGTTTTGGGTGCCTACATGTCTCAACCAGGACGTGACGTAACGATTTCCGAGAATTCAACCAATCAGCTGTCACTGCCGGAGACTATTTGAAATTGAAGCGGGCGAAGGCGGAAGAAACAAGTATAAACAAAACAGCTGTGTTCGCTTGGACATAACTGATATTTTATTCGAATGAATTTACATTCATGGTTAAGCATGTACTTGCTTCTGTCTTAGTATGCTTTTTATGTAGCTTAGTGTATTGTTGCAGGTAATTAAAAGCAACGGGAGTGGACTGTCCGTTAGCTAACTAACCCGTAACGTTAAGTTCAAGCTAACATTTTCTAAGCAGCCGGTTACCATGTCGTTGTTTAGTGTACAAGCGAGGAAGCATACAGCTTATTATGACCATCTAATGTCAACGTCCAAGACACCAGGCAGAGAGCGAAAAGCAGCAGACACAACGCTAGGCAAAAGTGAGATTACGTTAACATCAGGAGACTCTGCGAGTGAAGACAGAAGATCGTCTGATAAAAGCAAACAGATAAACAGGACTTATGTCATCTCTACGATGTCAAAAAGCAGCAGCGGGCAGCAGACTCCTTATCGGGGGCGACTCACCATGCAGAAGCGGCCAAGAAGGGAGACTGGGACTGAAACAGCGGAGAAAACTTTGGCTGAAAGCAGTCAGAATAATGTTTCCACGCCAGGAACGGAGAAGACACTGACCCTACAACGCAGGGCTAGGACTCCCTCCATGGATAAAAGCATACATGGGCAGCGTGGGTTTAACGGCACTGGTCTGCAGTCAACGCCCAAGGTCCTCCGTGAACCAAACGGTAGGACACCAAGTTTATTCAGGTCTATGAGTTTGAGAGAAACGGCTTCTAATGGCAAAGGAAGAGAAGCTACTGCACATGTGGAAACCAAAGAGAAGTTAGCGCAAGGCAAGGTGCTGCCCTCTTCTTCAAGCTCCACGGGAAGACAATTAGAGGAACAGACCCAAACCTTTAAAACACCTACCAGGAAGACCCCATTTGAGAAAATCGCTGCTAAAAGAGACGTGTTCGAGAAACTAGCAAGCAAAGAAGTGCCTAAAGCGGTGGCAGTCAAATTTGCAAGTCTAGAAATACCCAAATCTCGAGTACAGCAAGCGAAAGACACTAAACCTGTCCCCACTCCTCGGGTCAGTAAGGCCTCAGGTGTGTACAAGTCTAACGCTGCGCTGCAGTTGGAGAAGACCTCTAGCTCAAGTCAACAGGGAGACGTGAACCAGGCCAGGACCTCCGCTCCAGCACCTACCGAGCAGGCCCTGTCCTGTCCCAGCGTGGATCTGGAGCAACGTGGTTCATTCAAGATGGAAAACAGTGCGGTGACGGTGGCTGTCCGTGTCCGCCCTTTCAGTGCGAGGTTTGTAACGTAATTGCCTTAATGGGTATTTTGTGCAGGAGTAGGTGATGCCTTTGGGCAGGGAAGGGCGTGGGTCTCCGAAAGTAACTGCTGTCACTTGTGGAGGAGGCGTGTTATGGTGCGACTGTACCGATGGACAGTTTTAATCCTGAAAGTTACTTTGGCTTTTCTGAATAGTGTATATTTGCATCAATTTGATTATCTACAAACAAGAACAAATACATGTTTGATATATATGTATATATAAAGTATTTCTTAAAAGTAATGTCCACAGTGACATTACATTGCTGAATACATGGTCAGAGGCCACCCGCCATGCCTTTAAGGACCACCAGGAGTCTAGGGGCCACTGATTTAGGGGATGTGAAAATTGAAGCCACTTACAGAAAATAGCTATACATTTTGTCAGCATTTCAAACATGCTCAGAAATTCAGCTTTAGCTGTTTCTCTCATCGCCATGATTAAGCTGACTGTTTTGGCTCTACTGAGATGGAGAGAGAAAGAAATGATGTTGATCAGTTAGCCTATTCTGAACAATCAGTTTTGGTTCCATCTTATCAGCTGCAAGGATTTGCTGTTTTTCTTTATGTTAAGTGATGTGTAAGCTTAATATTTTTAGCAGTGGGTTAGCCTCACCTTGGGCTGTGATGGACATTTCACTGTTTTCTACAATCTTATAAGTCAGTTGGTTAATCAATATAAAATGGACATTAATAACTATTGAATTGTTAGGTCCAGCTATATAACACATAGTGCATAAAAATACTGTAAACAGGAAAGTGACCACCACACTACAAATAAAGTGCATTGTTATGGAAGTGCTCTGATTTTTTTGGTGGACAGAATTCCATTCTAAAATACTGTTGTAAATAATCTGCACTGTTAAAGGGAGAAGGCAGAGAAGGCATTACAAGTCATCTTCATGAATGGCCAGGAGACTGTTGTCCAGCATCCGGAGTCCAAAAAGAGCTACTGCTTCACCTATGACTTCTCTTTTTGCTCGGTGGATGAGGGTGATCCTACCTTTACCAGCCAGCAGACAGTGTATGAGACACTGGCCAAACCTCTGCTACTGAGGGCCTTCGAAGGATTCAACACCTGCCTGTTTGCTTACGGCCAAACAGGCTCTGGGAAGTCGTACACGTGAGTGTTTTTGGATTTAGCCATTGTCTGACTTTCCCTATAATCTCCTCAGTTTTTTATTCTTAAAATGCATGCTGTTTGTGAGCTTTAAATCTTTCAATGGTCAGTTGTTTAAGATTAATTTTATGCAGGATGATGGGCTTTGGAGAAGAAGCAGGGGTAATCCCACGGTTCTGCAGGGAGCTTTTTTCTAGACTGGCCTCCATGGAAAACGAGGAGGTAAAATGTTACTTATATGGATTTGTAGCTGGTTGTCATTTGTTTATTTTATTTAAAAATCTAGAAGCTGCACCCTTCCTCTAGGAAAGTTTTTCAGTGATTAAAGACTCAAATGTGTTCACGAACACTTACATAACCCTTGACCCATTTGAGTTATTACATTTCAGGTCAAATGTCATGTAGAGATGAGCTACTTTGAAGTTTACAATGAGAAGATCCATGACCTCCTGATAACCAGAGATGAACCAAACCAAAGGAGGGTGCCCGTAAGTAGTTTGCAACCAACTGAAGTGCATTCAATGAATATGAAGAATATTAGTGTATTTTTTTATTTATAAACTTGTGTTTTTATTGTAAAATTGTTACTAGTGGTTAGAAAATTTGCCTGATTCCTATTAAGACAAACCAGCTTTGTTGTCCAGTTGAGGATAGAAAATATTAGCACCTTCCTGGCTATCCAGATATCATGGAATATCTACTTTATAAGTCACAACCTGTCACATTCCTGAAATGTATATAAAATATACGACGTATGGGTTGAATAACATGAATCAATCAAGTTAAAACCTAGTTGACTTGTGTTTCCAGTTGAGGGTGAGGGAGCATCCAGTCCATGGGCCCTATGTTGCTGATCTGTCTACGTAAGATAACCTTTCTTTATGCTATATTATGCTTCAAATAGAGGTGAAAAGAACATTCTTGAATGGTGTGTTTTGCAATTTCTCACTTTATCTCTTCACAGGAATGTTGTGGGCTCTTATACTGACATTCAGGTATGTTGAAACTTCTGCCAGATAATGCATTTCTTTTCTTTCAGATCCCTGCCCTTTAGCTGGTGCTGTTAAAAACAGCTATGAATGAGTTAGTAAGTCAAATTCACTAAATGGCCATGATGAAGTTTACAGGTGCATCTCAATAAATTAGAATATTGTGGAAAAGTCCATTTATTTCAGTAATTCAACTCAAATAGTGAAACTCGTGTATTATATAAATTCAGTACACACAGACTGAAGTAGTTTAAGTCGTTGGGTCTTTTAATTGTGATGATTTTGGCCCACATTTAACAAAAACCCACCAATAAATGGACTTTTCCACGATATTCTAATTTATTGAGATGCACCTGTATGTCAGCATTTGACTGAATAATGTCTTGAGATTCAGGTGCAGGAGCACCACGGAGATAATTTCTGAACGTCTAAGATACTGTGACAGCTGATATCACAGGAGAACTCCCATACAAAGACATTCAGACATTATTCACATTGTTCTGTTTTAGGGGTGGCTGGAACTGGGCAACAAGCAGAGAGCTACAGCGGCTACAGGAATGAATGACAAGAGCTCCAGATCTCACTCTGTCTTTACCCTGGTTATGACCCAGACTAAGGTATGGCGTCTCAAATATACTGTATGTCATACATCATTACAAATATTAAAATATTCATAACAACTCCAGCGCAAGATATTACACCACCATTTTTTTGCACAGTTTAACAAGTTAACTCTTCAGAGACAATCTTACTTGTGCTGCTATGTGTTTAAAGCTGAATGTTACACAGTAAATCAGTTTGTCTGTGTGTGTTTGTGTACAGACAGAGTTGGTGGAGGGTGAGGAACATGACCACAGTATCACCAGCAGAATCAACCTGGTGGATTTGGCTGGCAGCGAACGCTGCAACTCTGCCCAAACAAGTGGAGACCGACTAAGGGTACATATGCACACACCATGCTGTCCTTGGTCATCGAGAATGAGACTGAGGCTTTGAAAAGATCTGGGTGTAGTTTCCTTATTTTACCCTCAGTTCATCTAGCAAAGAATGCTTTATTTGTTTTTTGCAGTTTTCTTGCAATTCAAATGGAAATGGTCTACAAACAGTATCATATTAGGACTAGCGTTGAGTTAATGACTAGCTGGTTTGTTGTGTTAATCGAAATGAGAAATGAACCAATGAATTATAGCAATTATATTGCAGACTCCTATTATGAATCTTGCTACAGTAGGTTGAGGTTAATTCTACCAGTGTAGAAGCTGCGTTTTGATAACTCAGTTTGCATGCACACTTATTCTCTGTGTTATTATAGGAGGGCGCCAGCATCAACAAATCTCTGCTTACCCTTGGAAAAGTCATCTCTGCCCTGTCTGAACAGGCACTGACCAGGAAGAAGGTCTTCATACCATACAGAGAGTCTGTCCTCACATGGTGAGAAAGCAGTATGCTGGTACACATGTAATTAAAATTAATTAATTATAAGCTGTGGAGTATATAGAAATTGTTTAGCTGAAAAGACGATTCCTAAAATATATATATATTTTCTACATTTTCTCTGACCCAATCACTATTCAACTTCAGAAGCATGATATGCCATTGTGGTTGCCCCCAAAAACAGGCTGCTGAAAGAAAGCCTCGGTGGTAACTCCAAGACGGCTATGATCGCCACACTGAGCCCAGCAGGCAGCAGTGTAGAGGAAAGCCTAAGCACACTGCGCTATGCCCAGCAGGC